GATCATGGAACGTTGGCAGTGGACTGGCCACAACGATGTTCAAAACGAAGTGGCGCCTACAACGAACGACGAAACGAGGCAAGACGTTGGAAACAAGCGTTGCAAACGAAGACGGTGCCAAACGAAAACGAACGACGAAGCGGGGCGTTGAAAACAGCAACGGAAAACGAGACGAGACTGCAGCGAAGAACGAAACGAAAAAACAAAAGAAGGGCCCAAGCCGAGCGACACAGCGCTGTGGTCGGCCCTTGATTCATGGGCCCGTTTTCCACCACCGCTGCCGTAGGCAGGACGGGGGGGAAGGGAGGACAGGGCAGGTCCTCCTCCTCCTCCTCCTCCTCCTCCTCCTCCTCCTCCTCCTCCTCCTCCTCCTCCTCCCTCCTCCCTCCTCCTCCTCCTCCTCCTCCTCCTCCCTCCTCCTCCTCCTCCTCCCCCCTCCTCCTCCCCCCCCTCCTCCTCCGAATTACCCATGGTAGCGGTGGTGGAAGACCGGCCCGTCGTTGAACGCTCCTGCTCGTGCCGAGGTTCCTCCTCCGCGTCTCCGCGCGGGCCCCACGGCGGGAAGAGGCGGAGGCCCCTGGGCGGCAGGCCGCCCAGGAGGCCGGCGAACCCCCCGCGGCCCCCGCGCGCGGCCGGCCGCAGCGGGAACCGCTGCGTCAGCGCGCCCCGCAGCTCGGCCGCGAAGCTTCGGCGGCAACGCACGAGAGCCTCCCACACTCCTCCTCCTCATCCTCCCTCCTCCTCCCTCCTCCTCCTCCTCCTCCTCCTCCTCCGCCTCCTCCTCCTCCTCCTCCTCCTCCTCCCTCCCTCCTCCCCGCCTCCTCCTCCTCCTCCGCCTCCTCCTCCTCCTCCTCCTCCTCCTCCTCCTCCTCCTCTCCTCCTCCGTCTCCTCCTCCTCCTCCTCCTCCTCCTCCTCCTCCTCCTCCTCCTCCTCTTTCTTTTCTTTCTTGGGTTTAGGGCAGAGATTCGACGCCCCTAGGAAAGGATGAGAGCAAGATGGAACAGGATGGAGTGACAATGCAGCGGCAGCGGCTAGGCAGCAGCAGCAACATGTCAGTGAAACGCATGCATCCCCCTGGTTGTTAAATTCCCCAACGATTTAAAGTCCAGCGTTGACTTGAATTCTAACAACCGCGGTCCTTCCCAGAAAAACTGGAACTGTCATATATGTGTGACGTCACGTCCTGGGGGGACTGTGCTCTCCAGGCGCCTAGTCGGGGTGAGAGCCCGACTGGCCCTTCACTCAAAGAGTTACTGCCACAAGCGGCGCGCGAGCCTGGAAAAAAAGAGCGGCACTGGATCCAAGAGAGGTGGAGAGCAGCAAGCAGCACGCAGGTACCACCGTTCTGTCCCTCCTATATCCTGGCGTCTCATAACCATCTGTGGATCCTGCAATCCATACCGTACTGCTGGTCGTGTAGGTAGCCATCCAGTGGCGTGTAGTATTTCTGCAAAGCTAAAGGAATCCAACCGTCATCCTCGTGTATCAAATGTAGTTCCCGCTGGAGTTGTTTTTCGTCTTCGAAGGTCCAGTGGTGATACTCCATGCTGTATAGGTCAATTCTACCGAGCACCGGGGACCCTGGGAGGTGCCTTGGCCCTGGGGCAAGCCGTGACGTTTTGCCTCGCAGACGATTTCGTAAAACAGGAGGGCCGCCCTGCGTGAACAACCACGGATATTGGTGCCAGGCCTCCTGGACCAACGCTGAACCAAGAGTCCTGCAAAGCTCTGACGGGTATGTTTTGGCAGCAGCGGCCCTCCTGTTGCCACTCACATCCCACCCCTCAAGCACTACATGTCCTGCTGGGTGCGTGCATGTGATACCCCCCCTCCCGGTAGTCAAAGCGTCAACCAAACAGGGAGTGTGAATAATCAACTGATTGGTGGGCTTCCTGGCGGGGGCCCCGAAGACACACTGGTGAATGGTGATCCGATGAGCGTGAGGCACTCGACAAAGCCGCTTGACCCGACCTAGATACCAGGAGCTGGGGGCCTCAGGGGGATCCCAAGGTTCAGCAGGGTGCTCCATGATAAACGAAACGCCAACTCTCCAGCAAAGGGCCCCAATCTCCAGGGTGGCGCGGAGGAGGCGGCTGCCAAGCGAAAGCTGGATATGTTCACGCTCACCAACGCACTTGAGGCCCCATGGGTTGTCCCTGGACCTGAGTGGACGAGGTGGTTTGGTCCTGAAACCATCTGATCTCTGACCTGGATCTCTGTGCCTAGCAACTGACCATGTCTCGCATGGAGGTCCAGCCACCACCGCAGCTATGTAGCCAGCACGAATGAGCCGACTCCAAAATGCCACGGTATCGGGTTTGGTCAAATCTCAAAACACAAGGTCATTGACTATGTCAATGCTCAGCACTATGAGACGGGCATGGAAGGAGGCCAAGACACGGCCCACCCAATCTTGGACATCCCCCTCCCCCCTGAACCCCGAAAAGAAATTAAGAAAATACAGTTGCCTCCTGACAGGAAGTTTTTTGGGGTCATCGCACGGGGGAACAGGAGGTGGGGGAGCTATCAGACAGGGCAGGGCAGGGGGAATCGGGCCACCAGCACCTCGGTTGATGATGGCTGGCCCTGGTATCCTCACTGGTGGGTCAATAGCACGGTGATCCTGAAATCCAGCCCGCCTGTCGTCGGACGTGCGTTGGCGTATGAGCTCACCGTTCTGAGACAACCCTCCTGATTGGCGCGACGGCCAGTGGCCCACCAATCCCTGAGACAGAGCTTGGCCTGAAGTAAGTGTTTATGGAGTCTTCCAGGCTGGTGAAAGCACGTGAGACACACTTGGCAGACCATGCCAGTCACGAAATTTCTGGGGGCATGAGGGGGGGTGAAACTTGTTGCAGTGAGAATTGAAGGCTCGCAGTGTCGCAAACTGTTTGGTGCAACCTGGGCAGGAAAGAATGCGCCCGGCCACAGTTGCAGGCAGGGCCAAGGAAAACCCCGCTGCAAGTGTTTCAAACCTTCTTTCCCAGGCGACACGGTGGTATTGATCTAGGGAATGTGCCAGAGCCCTCTTGGCAGCACTTTTGATGAGTGCCTGAAGTGTCCTGGGTTGCTGTCGAGCCAAGCCGATCCATGAGGGCAGCGTTTGATCAGCGGGCACCTGACGTGCTTCAAGAAGCCTGACAACCAGCAAAAATCCTGGGCCAGAAAGGCCATCCAACCATGATTTTCTCCAGATAGGTACTGAAGGCAAAATCCAACAATGGGTGGGGCATGGTGTATTATTCTGACCAGGAATCGAAGCCTTGCAATAGTCATAGCCTGGTCGTAAGACAACCTGCCTGCTAGTAGTAGAACATCAGTGTGTGCGTAGCGGATGTCGTTGTTGCTACAGGTAGGTTGATGGCTGCCCTGTATACTCGTTCATGTCCCTGTCGTAGCCTTGCCCCCTGTCCCTGCGTGAGGCTTGTCCATGTACAAGCACTGTGGAAGAGAATGGAACTGGCCAAGGCTTCAGCGTAGATCACGTTGGTTTTGTTGTCCAGACACTTGCGGGGGGCAATAACTCTTTTAATGGGCCTCAGGGCTCCCCCTGAGTCGCGAACCCGAGTCACAATCTCAGTGGCCATGCTGCCACTGGCAGCAATGTAGGATCCCAGGACCCGATGAACCGAGACAATGTCAGCCTCAAAATCCCACTGAATACTGCGAACTACACTATGCTTCTGACCTTCTTTGTTGACCTGCGCTTTTTTAGGCCCAGGGCCACGGTGGGCAAAGTGAAACTTTTTGTTTTGCCATTGGGCCGAAGCCCGCGCCTGCAACACGCTTCAAAAACAACGTCCAAAATCTCACGTGCCGTTTCTATAATATTGACGGCTGAAGAAACAAGAAAAAGCTGGGTAAGATCATCCACAGATGACGTGCCCCCTGCCTGCTGATTTAGATCCTCAGCCGTGGCAAAGGTAAGATCCCCTGGGGGTAGAGGGGGAAGGGGGGCCAATAACTCTTGGCGCGGGTTCAAGGCGGTCTCAATCCAGTCATGTACACGACGAAATACTGCATTGAAGGTGTCAGTGGCAAAAGTAGACCCTGGCCTAGACCCGACACGGGGCACAGTAAAGGATGGGGCGTTGGCAACTCTCCAGAATGCCCCACGTTGACTCTCTTTGAGTAGAGCACACATGTGAGCATTGTCAATACGTTGCTCATAGACGGGTTGAGACTGAAGTTGAGTATTGACCCCTTCCAACAAAACCGGTGGCAGGGGCATGTTATTCAGGGCCCATTCTATTTCATCGCCGGCCCCTGGAAGACTCAGGGCAAGCTGCTTGATAGTGGTGTAAAACGCACTGACAAGATCCAAGCACAAGGCACCCCAAGAGGTGCGATGCTTGAGGGAAAGCTGACACGTGAGCCTGGCGGCCTGCACTGTCATGTTACACCCCCTGCCTTCCAGACCCCCCATCTGGATGGCCAAGGTGGAAGCATAAAGGAAATCCAGGGTCAAGCCCCTCAGGAAACGATGATAGAGATTACACAGCACAGGGCACACAAGAATAGACCGCTTTGTCTTGACCTGCGCAGGATCACCTGAACCTTTCCAAAAGTGTGCCAGTTTCCCCCTTTTGAAGCAGATAGGCCCCCTAGCGGAGCAGGAAATTTTGACCGGGACAGGATTCAGAAGGCGAGCCAGGGCCCTCGGAGCGATTTTTTCCCAACTCACCCCTGAAGCCGTCGGACCCAGGGGACCGACCAGATTTGAGACGGCCAAGGAGAGCCTCTGTTTCGTACAGGGTGGGTATGGCACGTGGATCCCTGGGCATGTCAACGTCATCAAGAGGGGGGCTTTGATGTATTCTTCCACCAGTTGCTGCGTCGCGGCCTGCCAACCTAGCTCTACAGACGAAAAGTGTTCCTGGACATGCGCAGCGATGTCAACATCGTCCACGAGCGGTGCACCGTTATCATCGCACACCATGGGAAGGGGGGGAGCCCCCTGCTTGGGTCGGCGCCGTCGTCCTCAATTTTTCCGTAGAGCCTTGACAAACTGCCGCTCACTGTGACTCTGTCTCTGGTCCACGGATAGCTTGATGTCCTCAGCGCGAGACTCTAAGAAGGCGCACCTCGCCTCCTCCACAGCACGTTGCAAGGGTGCCTCGGTGGTGAGCAAGAACACTTGGAGCGCAACAGTGAAAGCAAAAGATCCAAAGAAAGCCCGGCTTCTCTGAGAGGCGGCGGCCTGGAGTGCCAGAAACAAGTGTTCCCAGCGTAGTTTACAATTTGCCTTTGGCTAACTCAACCAGACTGCCGGTTGTGAGCCTGACCGCCAATTCCGTGAGCCTACAGTTGGCAGGCACGTCATCAGCTCCTTGATTCCTGACTAAGACTTTTCTCACTGCGCGCCGTAGTTGGGTGAGGGCGCAGATGGACGGGTCGGCGCACGGTCGTCGTATTCTCTTGGGATCAATATGAAACGCCCGTTGGCCAACCGAGTTGATGTCCTGAACAACTTGCGAAGCATGTTCATTGAGCTTTAAGTTCCACGGCCTCTGAGGAATGTTCTCAAGGAGTGAGCAACAGCTGGCTTGGGCCCCTGAAGCCCGAAATTTTTCGCGGCCCAGAGGTTTGCGCGGGGCCAGGCGCTTGTGAACAATAGCTTCCCACCCAAATTCAGCCACGAGAGGAAAGTGATCAGGCCCCTTGAGGCCTGTCTCAAAGTCATGTAAGACATAGGTGGACTTCAGTCCAGGTCGTATGTCTTCGCTAACACAGATGTAATCGATACGGCGCCTTTCACCATCAGTGCCCTGGAAGGTAAAATCATTGCTGTCAGCAACCCAAGTGTTGGTGACGTTCAAACACGAGTCGACGCATGTTTTATGAAAGAGCTCCCCAGTCAAATCCTGGTTCTGTGTGAAACCCATCTGTGCGACCGAAGCTGAGACCAGTGAGCCAACTCTGGCGCTGGCATCGATCATTACCAAGTCAGGGGGATATTTCTCGAATAAGCATCCCAGATCGCTCCAAAACTTGCGCGCACTAGCTCTGGGTGATCTGGAGTGAGGAGCATGGGCGACGCAGACGTTCATGGCCAACCCAGGAGCCCACAGCGCAACAAGAAGCACGCGAGGGGAAGCAAAAATAGTCCTAAGTGGTTCTGCCTGAGACACAGGTCCTGGCTTCCCTTGCGCCCGCATGGGCATTGGAGGTTGGCCCGCAACTCGACTCTTTTTTTGCTTAACCACAAAAAAAATCACGTGGCCTTTCACCCTTGGGGTTCCTGGTCTCTTGTAATCCAACCAAATGCGCCTCCAGGGGCTGAAGCTGGCATCGGACCAGGTCAGACCTGAGCCTCCGTTTTGCCCCGAGGGTCCCATAAGTGTCCCTCTGGGTACTGGACTTGACATTGCACTGGACAGTTCTTAATTTAACAAGAGACTTGGAGGGCTCGGCGTTGGCGGGGGTACCGGGAGGATCCTGGGCGCGTTCCACCGAGGCCCATGGCATGGAGCGCTGCCAACTCCATCCATCATTCCAAACAGGATAGGCTGCCAGGACGTCGGGGGGGGGCATCACGAATCCATTCCCATTCCCTAGTCCTGGAGAGTTGAGTGATTGAAACAAGCTGCTCGGGAATTTGCGAGGCAGGTACGATTTCATCGGCAGTCCAGACGGCGACCCGATCGGCCAGGTCATTCCAGGGATGGCCGCCATGGCCTTTGACATGAAAAAGCCCCAGGGACCTCCCTCTAGATGCAACTTCCCAAACAATCCTGGTTGTGAGTGCCAGGTCCTAGATTCGTGGGTCGGTAGCCGCTGATGGCCGTGACCACGTTCAGCGAGTCCGTGTGGACGCTGGCGTCCCTGATACTGGTGTCGGCGATGGTGGCTAGTAGTACCCATATCACTCCAACATATGCTGCATCTGTGCTGGTGGCGTGCTCCGGGCGCAACCTTGTCCTACAGGTGTCGCTAACCCACCCAGACACATGGCCTTGGCACGAGAAACCGTGATGGTCTTCAGCTACTTGCACTAGCCCCCAGGTAGCAGTGTCAAGCTGTTGAGCCTTAACAGACCGTCGGTATAGGAATGTTTAGCCAGCCGTGTGGATTCACGACGCGGACACGTGCTAAGTGCGATTCTGACGTGCGATGGAAACTCAAGACTGTTGAAATCGTATCTCCATGTAAACACCCCGTGTTCCAGAACGGCGGTTCGAATGCCAGGTAGTGGATCCATACGGCACGCTAGTTGCGCAGCGGGGACAGGCACTGGTGCTGGAAGACTATCAAGGCCAGCAGCAGGGCATGAGGGAGTCGGAATAGTAGATCCACTAGTGTCGCTCCTACTGACATGAGAGAGCGCGGGCGCGGAAAGGGGGATTGATCCCCCCCCCCCAGGGGGGTCGAAACAAAAACGGGGGCATGCTACGCGACCCGGCTAAACTGTGACGATCAGCGTAGCATGCGCAAATTCGTGAATATTTCACCTGTGGGAGGAGGAGGGATGCCTGGAGCCCGAGAAGGGACTGCCATACCAAAGTCTGAGCCGTGGTGTGCATGCTCTCGCAGGCCTGTGGTGATGCACTTTCACTCGTTCAAACATGAAGTAGCATGTCCGAACAAAAGTCATATAACTCCTGAATCTCATCCGGCATGCTGCCGCCACTGAGCTCAGGAGCTGGGCAGGGCATCGCATTGTCGTCGCTCGAATGTAAAGTGCGTAGGCAGGCACCCCGAAGATGGCTGCCTGCAGGCGCCAGGGAGGCCACGGTCCCAGGACCCCCAGAGGCACCAGACAGTTGAGATTCGAGCGACGACGAAATTTTGCCCCCATTTGCATGCGAGGCTGCACGCGCAGCAGAGGGCCGAAAGCACAGAACGGATGCGCTATCAGTATCACGGTAGCTGTTGTCCCATTCCCTCCAGCTAGCGTCAATCCCATACCCCTCGGAACCTTCATCTAGCCAGCGGGGGAGGGCGATGCGCCACATCAAGGTGGGAGCGAGCAGGGCGCTAGCCGCTGCTGGACCCGAGCAGCTGCATCCTATAGACAGATCGGCGAAAAAAGGATAGCGCTGGTGACTTGCCAAACCTGGAAAACTCATGCATAGTGAACATGCCCCCTGGGAATTTCGTTTGTCACTGTGCGCTGGTGGGCGGAGGCGGCGGAGCCAACGTGGTTACTCGACGCTGCTGCAACAACCGCTCCCCCCTGCTAGATTGAACAATATGTTGACTTGCGCGCGCCCTTGGGCACGGCATCCGAAACTACGGCGCATCGTTGCTTGCATGACGCGCCAGTGCTGGGATGAGGAGGCGAGGCCTTGAGGATAGACCTGATGGGACCCTGTGTAAAGGAGGGAGGTGGAGGTGAGGATTTGACCCCTTCCACTTCAAAAAGAATGAGCTGCTGGCCGCCCCAATTCAGAACCCGTCGACGTTGGTTCACAGCTCTACACGAGCCTCTTTGCGTGGAGGACTGGCAGTGTCGACGTCCTTCTCCGCGCATGCCTTGTCGATCTCCTCGACAATCGCCCCCACCTGCGAAGCTGAGAGAGGACTTTCTGGCACTGGCATCGCCGTTGCCCGACCGCTGAGGCTCGAGTCCGTGCCCTTGCCTGGGCTCGCGACGGATTCCTTGGGGACCTCCATCAGTGGATCCCCCTGCGGCTCGTGACAACTCGGCTGCGCGGGTGAGATCTGATCCGTGTATGCGACCTGAGTGGCTCCAGTGTCGTCCACGACGTAAACTGCCGGTGACTTCGCAACTGGTGCAGGGGCCACGGGTGTGGGAGAATCTGCTGGCTGCGGCGCAGAATGTTGATATGTGGGCGAAGGCTGCGCCGCTGGCACTGAGGTGGGCGAGTAAGCCCTGGGACGGCATTGTGGTGTCTTCGGCGCGTCGGAGGCCCCAGCTACGGTGGGCCCTGCCTCCCTGGGAGCCCACGCAGCAAAAACTCCTGCACCGCACGTCTGCCCACCAGTAGCTGAACCAGTAGTCGTCCCACCAGTAGCTGAACCAGTAGCTGCACCAGTAGCTGAACCAGTAGTGGGCCCACCAGTAGCTGAACCAGTCGGCATCACACCCATAGCAGATCCCATACCCATGACATAGTGAGCCATATTGCTGGGCACGTTGTCTGTGGACTGCTGCTTGTTCATCATACCCTGCATGATCTGTCTTAGACTGTCCAACTGATTGTTTGGTATGTCCCCAGTTGGCGGTGGAGGCACATGTGCTGGCTGAAAGGATCCTGCTGACTGTGGTACACTCGGCGGAAAAGACTGTGCTGGCTGAGCTGGGCCAGCAAGAGGCGGCTGCACTGAGCCTGAAACTCTTTCAGTAGGGTGCCCTCCAGCTGGGTGCTGCCTCGTCTCCACTGCACACTTGATACGCTCTTTGTGGTGGTCCGAATTGCGGTGTGTGTGTGTGTGTGAATCTCATGCTGTACTGGACCACTTCGCACGGCAGGGGCTCCTGCTCCATTGCTAGTTGGATCTGCGCTAATACCCACTTCGTCGTCGGAGTCCTCATTCCCTAGCTCGATAATGGTTGTGCGCACCAGGTCAGGCTCCCGATCCACTTGAACTAGCTCTTCCTGCATACTCCATATTTTTTTCTTGCAAACTTTTGGCACGATCTTGGATATTGTCCTTCTTCATTTTCAACTCACTAATCTGCTTGTTATTGGATTCAGTGTTGGCCAACATATATTATTTTTCAGTACTGCAATCACGAAATCAGTTTCCGCCGTGTTTTTGCCGAGGTCCTTAGTAGCTAACGCCTGCTTTCCTAACTCAAACAACATCTGACGAATACGCTCTTTGTATGCCTTGATGTCTGGAATGTTGGACGGATGATTCAACTCATGGCAGAGCGTGGGATGCATCTCGGCGTCGGCGCGTGTGGCGACAATAATCTTACAAGTGTACTGCTTGATCGCATATTTTTCTTTCTTTCTAGGATCTGGCCTCGACCTGCTGGGGCCCTTGTCGGTGGGTTGTCGGCGACGAACTCCAGCTCCATCTCTAACAAAGTGAACTCCCTGCCGAGGTTTCTCCTGTTCATTGACGCTATACTTCTGTCCGCACAAGCACGACCAATGATGACCTTTGACGTACCTGCCGCATCGTAGGCAATCCCATAGCACGCCTGGCCCAGCGATCCGACCACCTTGCGGCCTCGTTCCTCCGAACATGGTGCTGTGATGCGCCCTAAGTAGCGATCTGCTGGCCAACGCACATAGTAGTAGTCGAGCTCTGGCACGTTGAAGGCGTGCCCGCCTATGCCACGATTTCTCTGTTGACGGAATTGTCACAGGCTTTGTCGCGGCAGCTTCTCCCAGTGTGGTGTGAGAGAAAACAAATGGTGAGTGTCTGCCCGCCTGAGGCAAGCCCGGATGGTCTCGGAAAAGAGACTCTCTGGCATACCAGATGCCAAAATGGTTCCGGGCCAAATGCCTTCTCCTCCTCCTCCTCCTCCTCCTCCTCCTCCTCCTCCTCCTCCTCCTCCTCCTCCTCCTCCTCCCTCCTCCTCCTCCTCCTCCTCCTCCTCCCTCCTCCTCCTCCTCCTCCTCCTCCTCCTCCTCCTCCTCCTCCTCCTCCTCCCTCTAGTCCTCATCATCACCCACATCACCATCATCAGACGGTCGACCCTCATCGTGAGGATGTGTGGTGTGAGGGTGCCAGGAGCGTGGACGCCCATGTCGAAGCTTCTCGGGCGGGGCGCGGCCAACGGAGGCGGCCAAGTATGGGCCGAGGAGGCAGGGAGGCAAGGGGACCCTCGGGAAAGACGCTCATCCTTACTGTGCGGGTCGACTGTACCATATCGTCGGCTCCTGCGAGATCGACGCTGCTCGACGCTGCTCCACGTTGATCGACGCCAAATCGGCGCTGATCGACGCGAAATCGGCGCGAAATCGGCGCTGTCTCATCGACTCCCCGGCGCTCATCGACGCTAGCCGACGCTAAAGACGGAATAAGAGGGTATACCAGGCTCCCATGATTTGCTACCGAACGAAGCGGTGGTCGAGGTCCCCGCGCGTGCGGAAGGGCGGGTCCACGTAGCCCCAGATGGCCGCATCGACAGAGGGGCAGACAACGGCACCGAGATCCTGGCGCTGCCACGTTTTCACACTGGTCGCTTCCGCCCGTTTTTGTTCGGACCCCGGGACCATCGCAGACCGATCCGGCCTGAAAATAGCTGGGGTCCACAAGGCTCTGGTGGTGATGTTCCGCGACAGCTTCGGATCTGAAGGCAGGCATAAAGCTTGCGGAAATCCGCGCACGGCTCTCCTGGGTCGGCGCCGGACCCCGCCGGGGCCGCCAGGTGGCTGCAGCGGAGAGGCGCAGCCAAGGGGGGCCCAGCGCTGGCCCAAGGAGTGCGAGCGGACCCCCGAAGAGTTGGCATGCTCGTGCCGGTGCTCTGTGCCTCCGGCTCGAAGCAGCGGCAGCCCTCGAAGTCGGCAAGGGTGGAGACGCCTCGGCCGGCCAGCAGCGGGAACAGCTCCCTCACCAGGCTGCGGGCGAGCTTGCCTCTACCCGTATGTTCCTGAGCATCGTTTAGCCGACCCCTTCTGGCCGATTTACCCCCCTAGATGGGCATGTGGGCTGCTGCCTTCGGGTTTCGAGGGGTAGATCCCCAACTGGGGTGCTGAAATGGTGGGGGTCTGGATGGGGATGGGGATGGGGTCAGTTGAACGATACTGTGTTCCTCGCCCTCCTTGAAATACGGCGCGAAGACTGCCTGCACGTCCCGTGCGGCCAGCCGCTCCGGCGGCGATCCTGGCAGCCCGCCACGACGCCAGAGCGCTGCCAGCAGCGCCGAGACCTCGGCGCCGCCGTACAGCCAGGCGAGCGCGGGCATCAGCCACAGAAAGGCGCTGGTGAGGTGCGACCACGAATCCAGACCCTTGCCAATGTTCACGGGCAGGAAGATCGACGAACAAGCAATGGCATAAACAACAACTTTCGGAGGTCTGCGCGGATTTCTCGGATCGGCGCTGGAGCTCCCCAGCAGCGCCTCCTGCGCCGCCCCCGGCGCGCTCCGCGCGCCAGGGGAGAGGGTCCAGAGCCGGTCCGAGAAATACGCGTGGGCCTCCGAAAGTTTATGTTTCTGTCGTTCTCTGGTTCTCGAGGAAGAGACCTACCACCCCCTCTGGTGCCCACTCGCAGGCGCCCGCCTCGCCGGCGTCAAGCGTGGCGACAAGGCTGAAGTCGGTCATCGGGTGGTCTGCCTGGCAGGACGGGAGCACCGATGGCACAGCGTGCCCAGGCACGGCGCCCAGCCTGCCGCGCACGGCGCACAGGCCACGCACGGCCATCGGGCACCTCCACACGTGGCCGCCGACGACAAACGACGGACGTTGACGAACAAGACGACGGCGACGGCGACGGCGGCGGCGACGGCGGCGGCGACGGCGGCGGCGGCGAACCCGCCACCGACGCAGCCGACGACAATGATGACGCCGACGACGACGACGACGAAGACGACGACGACGAAGACGACGACGACAAAACGACGACGACGACGACGACAAAACGACGACGACGACGACGACGACGACGACGACGACGACGACGACGACAGCGACGACGACGACGACAAAACGACGACGACGACGACGACGACGACGACGACGACGACGACGACGGCGGCGGCGGCGGCGGCGGCGGCGAGGGCGACGGCGGCGGCGGCGGCGGCGGCGGGGGCGTCGGCGGCGACGACCTCTCCGGCCGCCCATACGTAGCCGCCGCGTCGCCACTGCCACGCCACCACCGCGCCGGCTGGGCCAGGAAGCGGCCGAGCGCGGGCGCGTAGGCCGCCCTCGGCGGGCGGCGCAGGCCCTCGTGCCGCAAGAAGCCCACGGTCCACAGCACCTCGTCCAGGGAGACGGCCGCGACGCCGCCGCCGTCGTAGCGGCAGCCGCTGCAGATCAGCATCCGCAGGGCGGCGTCCTCGAAGAACGCGGCCGCCTTGGACGCGTCCCGCGCGGAGGTCCCTCCTAAAGGAGGGGGGGGGCAGGAAACTGCACGCATATCAGTGGACATGGAGGGGGAGTTAAAAGGGACCCGTGCTTATGCCGCATATAGCCCATACCCCCGACGTCATGACGCTTTCACAACACGGACCCCCGAAGGTCTCGATCCATTCCCCAGGACCCGCTGTTCATTCATCCGGGGCTGTATGTTTACGGTCCTGGGGCCTGGCGAGGGCCCCCAGGGGCCGACAATGGCAACAGACCATCCGTCGTGTTCTTGTCCATGAACCGCGGGCGTCTGAGGAGGCTGGGCCGTTTTCCTCGACTCCTGCCGCCAGCGCACTGAGGCCACAGACGACCATGAACAGCACCTGCTCGGCGGGGCACGCCCAGATGCTCGGCTCCGCGCGCAGGTCCTGCAGCAGCGGCCGCATCTCGGGAGGCTCTGCGGGCCCGTCGGTGGCGTTGCGAGCCGCGCCCACATACCTTTAGGTCGGGCCTGTCCTCCTACAGGGGAATTTTGGGCGAAACATTAAAAGTACTGAAAAAATCCAAAAAGGCTCAGAAATGATCCTAAAATCGTCCCCCGACTATTTTCATACTACTTTTGAACATTCCCCTGTAGAGGGACACGACCGACTTAAGCATACCTGAGGGTGGGCGAAAAAAGGGGTGGCCTGGCTCGGCGAGGGAGCACTGACAGGGAATCGGCGCTGCCCAGAGGAGGAGAAGGTACCGCTTCCGCTGCCCGTCCCTCGTCGCCACGGCTGCTTTCGCCGCGGATACTTCTGGCCAGAGCGCACCCCTGGAGAGGTCCGGGGAGCAGCGGCATCAGTACCTTCTTTTCCCCCCCAGATCCGCCCCTGTGCCTGCGAGACACGCGTTGGAGTATCTTTCAACCGATCCCCACCCCCAGCGGCGTGGCCGATTTACCCTCCTAGATGGGAATACAGATCATTCTCTTCGGGTTTCGAGGAGTGTATCCCCAACTCGGGTGGTAATTTGGTGGGAGTCCCGAAGGGGATGAAGATGGGGATGGGGATCGGATAAACGATACCGAGAGTTTTGGAGTGTCCTCAGGTCCCTTGCTCAATCCCCTGAGCATTGTCCTCAGTAAGGGCCCAGACCCAAAATTCTCTAACCTCCCCGGGCTCCCCGCGCGCACAGGGCGTCTTCTGGCATGGCGTTTCGGGCCCAGAAGGGCCCAAAGAAGGGCCAAGAGGACCCCAAGAAGCCTCTGACCTACAACCACGGCACGGTGGTGGGGGGGGGACGAAGGCCACTAGTGTATCGCCGATGGATCGCTCCTCCTCCTCCTCATCCTCCTCCTCCTCCTCCTCCTCCTCCTCCTCCTCCTGCTCCTCCTCCTGCTCCCTCCCTCCCTCCCTCCCTCCCTCCCTCCCCTCCCTCCCTCCCGCCCTCCCCCCCTCCCCCCTCCCGCCCTCCCGCCCTCCCGCCCTCCCGCCCTCCCGCCCCCTCCCGCCCTCCCGCCCTCCCGCCCTCCCGCCCTCCCGCCCTCCTCCCCTCCCTCCCTCCCTCCCTCCCCTCCCTTCCTCCGTGCATCCATCCCCCTCCCTCCTCATCCTCCTCTTCCTCCTCCTCCTTCTCCTCCTCCTCCTCCTCCTCCTCCTCCTGCTCCTCGTCCTCCTCCTCCTCCTCCTTTTCCTCCTCCTCCTCTCCTCCTCCTTCTACCCCTTCTACCCCTCCATCCTCTTCTTCCCTGCTCCACTCCTCCTTCCCTCCTCCCACCACCCTGGCATCCGCCGATCTGAATCCGCGGCTCCAGAGCTCCCGACCCCTCCCCTGGGGGCAGCTCTTCGTCCCCGATCCACTTCTGAGGGCCCCAGGGCCCAACAGCGGGCCCTGAGGCCGAGATCGCAGAAGACCTGCCCAGATTAAAAGAAACAAAAAACATGTCGCCAGAGATCTGGGCCTGCCGTTCCCCCGGGATGCCCTCCGCGCCACAGCTGCGAGCTCCCGGCCAGCACGGCCGGCGTGACCGCCAGCTGCGCATCGCTTAGATGCTCGTTCTGTGGACCTTCCTGGAGCCACTCGCTCCACTCACGCATCGATGCCGCTTCGAATGTCCACCGACTCGAGTCGAACTTAAGTCGAATTTGTGTCGCACTGAGTCGGGCTCGAGTTGAACACGGAGCCGAACAAACCCGTTAGGTAGGCCCTGGGGAGGTCTCCGAAACGAACGTGTAAGAAGTGGGTCGCCCCCAAGGGAGGACGGGGAGACGGAGCAGGGAAGCCAAGCAGGGAGACGGAGGGAGAGCACATAAGACACAAAGGGCAAGGAAACACAAGGGCAAGGCGGAGGACACGGGGAGGGAGAAGGGAGAGGGAGAGCCGAGAGCCAGAAACGAGGCAAGGAAGGAAGAGGGGACACACAGGAACAAACGAACATGTAAGAAGTAGGCAAGAATTATGTTGCTCCCATCGTACTTAAGGACCACATCCCAGAAATGATTTCGAGCACCCGCAAAAGAGTCGAAAGAGTGTCGGAAGAGTGTAGGGCCCGACACGTGAAAACCCTCGAGTTTTGGGGGTACTTTTCTGGCGCTCGAAATTATTTCTGGTGATCCTGGCTACAGTAGGTTGGAACATCATAAGGCAAGAAGTTAGAACGTGTACGAGGCGGGTCACCCCCCAGGGCCGCGAACGTCTGGCCTCCGGCTCATAGCTCGGGCCTCTGGCGGCCGACCGGGACGACTCGGGCACCCCCAGAACGCTCTCGGCGAGGCGCAGCTGCTGGGGAGCATCCCGAGGCTGGAAAACCGCCCAGCATCCCAAGGAGAAAGTACGAAAATCTCGCAACTCGAACCCAGGATCGTGCAGCATCGAATCGGAAAGTCTGACCGAATCGGAACGTGCGTCGGATCGGGCTGCATCGCAACGGAGTCGAAATTGGACCGGACCGGCTGCGCCAGGATGCACAACTGCGACGTGCAAGCATCGGGCCGCATCGGATCGCCGGATCATCGGAACTAAATCGGATCGGGCTGGCCGAACTCGGCATCGAATCGGATCGATCCGATCGAGACGGGCCCTGGAGCCTCGATCCCCCGGCCAGGAAGGGCCCCGAGACGATAGGTAGCAACATCCGAACCCTACCCCCACCAACCATCGATTCTCCTGAATCGATGGGAGGCGGGGGGGCCCCACGCATGCCGAAACCCTGTCCTCGCCGCCCATCGAGCTGCCAGAGCCGTTGAGCGGCGAGGGCAGGGCTCGGATGTCGCCACCGGCTCGAACCTCGAGCCCCGGGCCAGGATGAGTCCCGAGGCTGGAAGACCGCCCAGCATCCCGAGGCTTGAAAGCCGCCGAGGACCTCGGAGAACGCCTGAAAACTGCGAACCTCGAACCCGAGCCAGTCGGGGGCGCGCAAACATGGATCAATTATTCACTGCGTGGGGATCCCCATGTGCATCTCCTTGCTGGCGCTCCCTTGGTGGTGGGACTCGGTGAGGACGAATCTGGATTTAAGTGTGACTGAGCTGCCTCTCTCTCTGCTCTCTCTGCTCTCTCTGTCTCTCTCTCTCTCTCTCTGCCCTCTCTCTGTCTCTGCCTCTCTTTCCCTGCCTCTCTCTCTCTCTCTCTGCCTCTCTCTCTGCCTCTGTCTCTCTGCCTCTCTCTCTCTCTGCCTCTCTCTCTGTGCCTCTCTCTCTCTGCCTCTATCTCTGCCTCTCTCTCTCTCTCTCTCTCTCTCTCTCTCTCTCTCTCTCTCTATTCTCTCTCTGCTCTCTCCTCTCTCTCTCACTCTCCCTCTCTCTCTCTCTCTCGCTCTCTCTCTTCTCTTCTCTTCTCTTCTCTTCTCTCTCTCTCTCTCTCTCTATCTCTCTCTCTCTCTCTCTCTCTCTCTCTATCTAGTCTCGGCTCGAGAGTGCTCTGCACTCAGACCGCAGCCGCGACGCGAAGCGCCCCGCCTCGGAGTCAGACTCCCAGGCCTCGCGAGACCGGAGGGGTCCCAGCAGGACCCTACTGATTCGCGTCACCTCTCCACACCAGAGTGCCCGCAGCAATGGCCCCCAAGAAGCCGGAGCGCCGTCGCTCTTCTAAGCAGCCTCCGAGCTCCCGCCCCACGCGCCCTGCTGCTGAAGGGTCCCTCCTTCAACGCAAGCAGGACTGCATCGCAGCGTTCAAGCAAGCGGGGTCTGACCGCCCCACGGCCGCCTACAACGGGCTAGCCGAACTGAACGCGGACGAGCTCCAGGCAATGTACGACATGCACAAGTCCAACACGAAGAAGCTTGGCAGCGCCCTTATCCGCATGTGCGCCGCCAACCAGATTAGCTACACGCTCGATCACCACCAGCGCAGCAAGCCTAAGCGCACTGGCGGTGACACATCGCATCCACCAGCGGGCTCCGCACGTCTTCAGGCTGCGGACACCCAATTCATCGCCTTGGACCCTGCCTTTTGGAAGGTCCCTGTCCTTGCCGAACCCACCTCGCCTGACGACGGCAAGACGTACAAGCCCAGCATCAGCCTCCACGACTACGAGAGTGGTGAACGGCTGCTGCAGCACCACCTCGAGCAGGGCAAGCGAGTCACGGGTCAGCTCGCGATTGCTGTCATGGGCCCGAAAAACGACAACTACGTCGGTACCGAGCTCGCCGTCCCCGTCCTGAAGCGCCACCCCAAGGCGCCCAAAGTGGTCCACACGCACGTCCCCGTGATCGTGTACCAGCTGGGCACCAAGGAGGTCGCCTGCACGGAAAAGGTAGCCGTCGCCACCATCGACCCTGCCGACCACGTCTGCTGGATTCGGGTGACCATACATGAGACCGAGGCCATTGCCGCAGTCCCCTCCATGCACCAGGCCTTCGAGGACCAGTTCTCGGGAGGTGCCCCCGTGAACGGTGGTCCACGCGCCAAGGGCCCTTTTCGAGGCGACTCCGCTCCACAGGACAAGGCGCGCCAAAAGCACAAGGAGTCCAAGAAAGACGCTCGCCGCCAGGAGCTCGATGGCCAGCTCCAGGACACCTTCAAGGCCCTCTTCCACGGCAACTTTAAAGCCGTCACCATCCTCGAACCCTGCAAAAGCCTAGGCAGGTTTGGATCGGGCGTCGGAAAGAGGTCCCTGGCTGCCACCTTCGGCGTCAGTCTCCAAGCGGTCGACAAGGTCCTGGCGGGATCAGGGCAACTCGGTGCCACCTACGACCTCAGCAACGTAGGTGCAGACGAGCCCACCGCCGACAAGTATCAGACCGTTTGGTTCCCTGGGGACCAGCCCATCACGATGGCAGACGCGTTCCAGAAGTCGGTGGAGTTCAAGGCCCTGGGAGTCGTCAGGCACGGCAAGTCAGGCCTGCTGGGGATCCGTGTTCCGCGGGGGTCCGACGTCGCCAAGGCGGCTGCTGTCAGCATCCGCGGCTGCGAGGCTACCCTCGCCAAGACGCGCTACCGCATCACTGGCATTGCGGCACGCCACGCCACGCTGACCCAGCTCGCCAAGACTCTCACGGGCCCGTCCGTTAAAT